ATATATGCCACCCAGTGTCACAACATTAGCATGAATTAAACTTCAATTTTTCGCGAAAAGATACCCATAACATCTGGTCATAATTTTTGTGTGAGTGTTCTTAAGATACACTTTTTTGTGCAACAGAGGGAGATCGAAGGAGGGGAAGAGAGGAAGAAGGCGGGAGGTAAGGAGCAGAGAGAGAGAGAGCTGCATATATGCATGTGATGACAACACGAAACGGTAGCAGCAACAGAAGCCACCAAACATCAGACATGAAGTCGAAGAAGAGGTTTGTTGGAGTTCTCCAAAAAGTCGCGTGCATGGCTTATCAAAAATTAACTTGACAGCAGGCAGGCTGGCAACAACTTTGGAGCAGCAACAGCAGCTCAAAGTCAATGGGGGGATATGCGATGCGCTCGATTTACATTTTGAAAGAGCAAAAACATATATCTTTTTGACACGGCTCCTACCGACAGAAGCTGTAAGAAAGTGTGGTTTGTGTGAGGGATTAATGTTGCATGCAACATAATGTTGCCTGGCTTGTCATCACATTTGGCAAGCTATTGGCAAATTAGCACATTAGAAATTTCCATATTTGTTATGTTAGAGAGCTGCACACATTTCGGGCAATCCATTTAGCGGTCCTTCCCAATTTTCTATTGTTTCCTCCCCGGTAGGAGTTAAGGGTATCAATTACGTAGGCAATTGTCTCAAACACAATGTTGTAAATCTCAATACAATGGTCCTGAAATTTATTTTTTGTTTTCTTCTTTTGTCGGCCTCCTTGAAAGTGATACAGTTTTAGTTTTGCCGGCTTTTTGTTCCTTTTTTTGCAATCTCCTCTCGCTTGAGTGATGTCCTGTTGCCACATTTAACCCAGCTAATTGCATTGCGCAAACACCGTTGGGCAACCACCCATTGCATTTCCCTTGAGTACCAACTACTCCGTCAGGAGGTGAACAAAAGGTATTTATTATTTTTTTTTTTTTTTCAAAAGGTAGGGTTTTTTTTTTTTTTGATTTCTGTTTCCTTTCATCATGTTCATCGTCATAATTTAACAATTGGCCCCGACAAATCCTCCCTTTCTTTGTTTATGTACACACACACACACAAACTACATTTATTTTGTAGTTTTGTACATTTTGTTGTTTAGTTAAGAACTTAAGTGCTGCCTCAAAAAAAAAGAATTGCTACTGTTGCTCTTGCCGGCATACACCCCGATTTTCTAGGATTTCACTACTCTCCCCATCCTTCCAACAGTTAGTGTGCCATTCAATCACTATGTTCTCTGGCCATTCATCCATCCATCCGTCCATTCATTCATCCATGCCATTCCATTCCATATTTTTGAGTCAGTCATTTTGTTTGCACTTAAACACTTTTTTTCTGCCCCCTGCTCGTTGGTCGCTAATGCATTTGGTGAAATTTAGAGGTTTTATTCACGCCCAGGTATTCTTTTTTCTTTTAATACCCCCCTTTGCCGGCCCTCTCTCTCTCTCTCTCTCTCTGTTAAACCAGCAGACATATAGTCTCGTCTACCAGCCAAACACAACCAACATTCGGAATGGACACAAAATCCTTACTTGGGGGTAACTTAATATTGTAATTGTGGCACAATAGAAGCGCACAATTCTAACTAACAGCAGCAGCACCAACAACAACAACGACAACAACGAGCGAATCTTTTGCGAGTAGATTTTTCATGGGCGATAAGCTACCCTTTTTTTACTGTGCTACATACGTACCTTTTTGTACGAATGTATGTGTATGAATCTGCATTACAGTTGGTGGCTATGTAATAAAGTTAAAGTTTATTACCTTACACATAGAAGTTACGGGGAGTTAATACACTGGGAGAAAAGCTTTCGGAGCTTGGAATAAAAATGAGAGGCTTAAGAGGCTGATATAAAAATAGGATCAAGAAAAATACACTTAATTTTATTTAGCTTTTTTTTAATTTAGGTCTAAAGCTTTTTAGATAAGGCCCTAAAATAGCTTTTTGAAGCTTTAAAATTAAGCTTAAGAAAGTGTTCCGCAAAAATATGACTTTAAAGGCTGTCTTTAACCAAATATTCTCATCACAAATAAAAGCTTTTCAAAAAGCTTTAAGAAGTCATAACTGAGATTTTTTGTAAAAGTATGACAAAACAACCTGGAATGTCAAAGTAAAAGCTTTGAAAGAGTCCGCAAAGCTTTTAAACTTAAAGTTTAAAGAATAATCTTCACATAAAAATAAAAAAGCTTTAAAGATATTTAACTTAATATTCTCAGTATACGGGGTGAGATGAAAATAACTGCAACCAATTTCAGACTGCTGTCATTTCTAAGCCACTAGTCCGACAGCTTTTAAAATCATCCCAGTGACAGCTCACTATATTGTTTACAGCCGTACAAAAGCATTTTGGTGAGAATTTTCGAGAAAAAAAGTTATTCGTGATGGAATTCAAGCGTGATAGTGTGATTTCTTTATATTTGGCTGGAAAATCACAAATGGCTATTGTTGGAGCACTCCAGCATTTAAATGTGAATAAATCTTTTGTGTCTCGTACCATCGCTCGTTACCGTGATACTGGTAGCGTAGCCCGACGTCAAGGAAGTGGACGTAGGGAAAACAGCAACATCAGCAGAAATGGTTCGAAAATTAAAGAAGCGACGTGATCGAAACCCGCGTCGCAGTGGCCGAAAAACGGCTCGTGAGCTGAACATATCAAAATATTCCATTCGGCAAATATTGAAAAATGAGCTCGGGGTAAAGCCATTGAAATTGCAAAAACTTACACCGCAACAGAAAAAATAGACTCAAAAGAGCTAAAAAGTTGCTTCGATTGACCGAAAGTGGTGAACTGCCGAATTTGGTTTTCTCCGATGAGAAAACATTCATTGTAAAGCCATTGAAATTCAAAAAGGTCCAAGAACTTACACCGCAACAGAAAAAAATAGACTGAAAACAGCTAAAGAGTTGCTTCGCTTGTCCGAAAGTGGTGAACTGCCGAATTTGATTTTCTCCGATGAAAAAACATTCGTTGTCAAACAAAAGTGATCGTGTTTATTTGTCAAAGAGGTCAGCTGAAAATGGGCACCTTCGGGTGGCCACCAGAACTCAAGCGCCAGCCATGGTGATGGTGTGGGCCGCCATAACAGCCAATGGTTGCTCGCCGCTCGTATTTATCGACCGTGGCATCAGAATAAATGTCGAATATTATCGCGAAAATATTCTGGAGGGTGTATTAAAGCCTTGGGCACACAAACATTTTGGCCGAAGACATTGGACATTCCAACAGGACTCCATCATCACCATCGCACTCAACACGCGTCACCCAAGAATAGTTACAAAGTGAGGTTCCTCGCTTCATTTCCAGCGAACAATGGCCACCAAAATCTCCGGATACCAATACGTTGGACAATTGTATCTGGCGTATTTTGCAAAAAGCAAGGTTGGCACTAAAAAATACCAAAATGTCGATCACCTCAAGCAAGCGCTAGAATGGGCCAAAATACGGCAGAGCAACATTCGGGTACCGTGTGACGGTTTCATTGGCCATTTGAAGGCCAAAATTAGTGCCAAAAGTGACCAATTCGAACAAATCTAAACTTATTCTAAAATTTGATACCATTTCCGACATATTTTGCTTTCATTCAATTAAATTTGAAAAAGGAATGTAAAAATTATGGCGTTTGACTTTGTTGCAGTTTTTTTTTCTCACCCTGTATGTTGTTAAATATTAGAAATTATGTCGATTTTACCTCCTATAGTCCTCATTTCTGATTCAGTGCTACATGTCTTGATTGCATGCCTTCTACATGGCAGGAAAGTAAGCAGTTGGTCTCAAGTTGCCAAAATTAACGATATTTGGTTAAAATATCGTTAAAGGAGACTCTCAAGGATCTCTAAGTCTAATATTTTCCCTCTTCGAATATTTTTTCCCTCTGTATAAACCCCATTTCTTTTTCACCTCCATATTATCCAAAAAAATAAAATAAAAAATTTTATATTTGGTCTAAGGCACCGAACCATTGCTGGAAACCTGGCGAAGGAATACCAAAAACAATGAAACAAGGGGAAATACAGAACAGAGAGTGTAGGAAAAAGCACCCATACCCACAAACACAGACACAAACAAACAGGAGAATACCCTCCACTATATGAACATTCATCATTACACGGCACAGCTGCTAGTACTCATGGTTAAACTGCGTGTTTTTTTCTTCGTGGTCGCTTTACATATACACATAACGCTATGTAACGTCGGAGACTAACTCTCTATTCATACATAGTCATATATATATTTATGTATGTATGTTTGTATGTATGAATACATGTGTGTATGTTGTGTGTTATCAACGCATTAAAATCGGAGTTCTTTTCTACTTCGTGGTTTTTGTTGTTGTTGTTTTTTACATACTTACACATATGACTGCTTGCCTGCCTACATTTTTAGTTCCTTTAAAGAGAGCTCTTTTGTGGTTGTTGTTGCTGTTTGGTCTAACCTTATCAGATCTTGTAAAAATACGATATAATGTAATGTTGCAAGCTTTTTCCGGTTCTCCTTTGGCAGAGAGGAGTACAGAAGAAAAAAAACACTCTTAGGCAGGCAAGTACTCGTCATTGCATTTACATAGCCCTGACTGGCTGCCTACCTCGACGACAACAACAACTACGACAATGCAATGTAAATGCAATTGTCTTCAGCAAAATATTGAGGGGGGCTGGAGTTCGAGCAGCTACTTGCATTTCCTGTTGGGTGAACCCAAAAATACATCCTTTCCTGCATTTTCGTTTCTGTTTCAGTTTTTTTGGTAACAAATTATCTGCCAGTGCATGTAAATTTGTATAAGTGAGCGGTTTTGGTGTGTGCGTGAGTTTTTGTTGTAACAAAATTGCCAAAGGTCATTTATGCTGATATTCTGCTTAGATAACCAACCATGTTTATGATAAAAAATATTTCTCTTGCATTTTTTGTTATTCGGTTAATAATTCATTTATGCATTTCCCGTTTTTGTTCCATATTTGCTTACAGGTTAACCGCCCCCTAACCATGAAAAAGGAAGGTATACAAACCCGCAATCGTAAATTATCATCAAAATCGAAAAAGAAGAAGGGCCTGGGTGGCGGTTGTATGCCACTGGGCGGTCATTTGGGTATGGGTGATTTCAAGCCATTGGATCCATCGAAAGGTTTCGGCGGTGGCTTCTCGGCGTCAATGGGTAAGTTTTAAAGAATTAATTTTTTTTCTAAGTTTTTAAATTTCCAATTTTAAAGCGAAAGTGAAAATCTCTTGTTGTCAAAACTTTGCGTTAATGTTTTCAATGTTTGTTTTTTTCTTTTCTCTTCTTCCAGCCCAACATTCCCATCTTTCCAGTGGCCTGCATCCAGCTCATGCGCACATGCATGGCGGCTGGTATACCGGCGGCATGGGAGCCTTGGGTGCTTCCAGTGGCCTGCAAGGTGGCTTCTCCACGGCCGGTTCATTGGGCGGTGGTGTTGTGCCACATTCTCAGCCTTATCATTTGGGTTTGGGTTCAATGGTAAGTAGTCGAAAAGATAAGCACTAGTTTTTTAGCCTCCACCATAGTATGGAGGGTATATTAAGTTTGCCATTCCGTTTGTAGCACCTCGAAATATACATTTTAGACCCCACAATTGATCAGCATAAAATTCTATGTCGATTTAGCGTCCGTCTGTCCGACTTTTGAAATGGCTATAGCTTTCGAACGAAATGAAGTAGGTTGATACAATTTTACTCAAATGTATATTATGTCTGCAGGACTTTTGGTAATGAAAATGGGTCATGTAGGTCCACGTTTTGGTATAGCCCCCCTATAATGATACCTCCCTTTTTCGGTATTTTGGTGATTTTAGCTGCATTATTCACCGGAATTGTTTCAAGTTTGGTATTTGAAGTTCGTAATGGATACTACAGCCTATGACAGAAAATTGTTTATGCAGGTCCACGTCTTCGTATAGCCCCCATATAACGATACCTCCCAATATTCGGTATTTTGATGATTTTAGCGACATTATTCACCGGAATTGTTTCAAATTTGGTATTTGAAGTTCGTAATGGGTACTACAGCCTATGACAGAAAATTTTCTGTGCAGGTCCACATCTATAGGCCCCATATAATGGTACCTCCCTATTTTCGGTATTTTGATGATTTTAGCGTCATTATTCACCGGAATTGTTTCAAATTTGGTATTTGAAGTTCGTAGTGGGTACTACAACCTATGACAGAAAATTGTCTGTATAGGTCCACGTCTTCGTATAGCCCCCATATAACGATAGCTCCCAATATTCGGTATTTTGATGAGTTTAGCGTCATTATTCGCCGGAATTGTTTCAAATTTGGTATTTGAAGTTCGGCCCGGCAGAACTTACAGCTTTTTTATTTGTTAAATTATTTAACATTTAAAAATTTTGAAATTATTTAAAATTTTAAAATCTTGAAATTATTTAAAATTTGAAAATATTGAAATTATTTAAAATTTTACTAACTTTTCCCTGTTTTTCTCTCTCTCTATTCTTCCAGGGCACCTGGCGTACAGACTACACGTGATGGAGCGGCAATAATATAAATGGCAATTTATTCAATTGAAATTGGCCATTATGTGAAGAGAAACCAGCTACGAATTATTCCCACTTTTACGGTTAGTTTATATTTTGGTAAACGACAAGAACAACAACAACTACAGCAACTAAATTGAACTCCCTCACTCCCCACCCAAGAGAAACCAAGAACCACAACAACACCAAGTGTTAATGAAAATTACCCACAATTTTTTGTAAGCGAAAAAAAAAACAGTTCCTAAATCAAATCATTTAAAAAAAAAAATCAAAAATCAACCAAAACTGCGTTTTAAACGCTGGGACTAACCCCGTAACCCTGTCCTCTCTGGTATTTTTACGGAAAAAATATGGAAGATTTTGAGATCCCTCTCCCATATACAAGATTTCTGAGGGAGAAGACTATCAAGCTTCCTCTAAGAAATTTCGGTCCCTGTGGAGATCTAAACTTGAGCCTGGGTGAGGGAGGGATTTGGGAATTTATCTTGGGAACGGCGAAGGTTTTAGACCCCTGCATATGATATTTTCTTTCTATGGTGAACAATGGAAAATAAACTCAGGATCCTGCTCTTGGTCATTTCCAAACAAAATCCAAGAAAATTGTCATAGAGCCATGCCACCAATTTGGATAAATGTTGGAGATAATTTAAAAAAAAGAACTAAAAATTAAATATTAAAATATTATTTCTAAGCCCACAACATCAACCCTGTGTATGGGGAAAACAAATCTGTTCATTTCGTTTATTTTATTTAATTTTCCTCGGCAAATACAGTCCCCGCCCCTCCAATGAATACCAAATTCAAGTAAAATAACTTTGTTATAATAATAAAAAAAAACCGTGAATGTATTTATTATTAAGTATGTTATGTTAACATTGCGTGCAATTTATTAATTTATTTATGTGTTCCAGTACACAGTTACACTTTCCTTTTTTCTTCTTCCCCAATACGACTTTGTTAACATTTCCCCTTCTTCTTTTTCCAAAACCCAAACTCTTGTCACCTTAAGGCACACACACACAAAATGTATACAAAAAAACTTAGAAACATTTTTTTTTAATTTTTATTATTCATCTACATATATCATACATAGATTAACAAAAACAAAACGTCCACATAAATGCAGTTTTTTACAAAAAACAGGCCACGAATTTCATTATTCAAAGAAAAAAAATTCTAAATATCTGCATGGTGATAATTAAAACAAAAACAAGAAAAAAACAACAACCACAAATCAAATTGTAAAATAAATTCCTATGTAAATATTTTAGCTATAGTAGATATTAAATAAAAAATTATATATATATATATATATATATATATATATATATATATATATATATATATATATATATATATATATATATATATATATATATATATATATATATATATATATATATAAATTAAAAAAAAACTAAATACAAAACACTTTTTAATTTAATTGTTTTTAGTTGTTAAGTAATTGTTTAAACCTGACAATGGCCAATGTAAAAACATAAGACAAACCCCCTCCCTCCCATATTGTTTTTCTTTACTACATTTATTTTCCCCTTCAACTTAACTTTAATAACATTTTTCATTATTAATTTTTATTTAAAATAACAAAAAAAAAATTTAAACAAAAAACTTGTAAATAAACCCTGTAATTATTGTAATTGCCACAGATGGAAATTTAAATATAAACATTAAATACTATACAAAAAAAAGATAAATAAAAAAATTGTTGTAATATTATTTTAATAAGTAAAAGCAGAAAAAAAACTCCCCCTTAATACATATACAGTATACACAACATATATACATATATAAATAAATATACCATTCTTATATATATAAATATATTTAAATTTAGTAATATATAATAAAAGAAAATCTAATTAAATTAAAAACAAATATATTACAATTATATTGTACTATTATTATTATTATTATTGTATTGTATTATTCTAAATGTAATTTGCCATATTTATAGTTGAGTAGCTCTTAAATAAAATAAATAAAAATAAAATTTGAAATATAAGAAGTTGATGATAAATTATGGGAAATGTGTGTGTATATATATATGTTTCCCTTAAACACACAAAAATAGACAAAACAAATATTATAACAAAACAAAAAAAAAACAGTTAATATTAATATTATAAAAATGAAAACAAGCAAAAAAAATCAATAAAAAATCAATTTCAAAAAAATAACATAAATGAGTTGTTTTGTTCATTTTTTTTTTTAATTTCGGGAATAATGAGACGAGGAGAACCCAAAAATATTTACAGGAAAACGCTTATGAAGGTAAACGAGTTTTTTTCGACAGATGTGTGACCCCAGACTTAAGTTATGATTATTCATAATTCATGGGGGAGGTTCCGAAGCAGTTGGCTAATATTGACCAATTCGTATCTGACCTTATTAAAACATGCCAGATTTGGACTATATCGACTACACTTTATATGAGATATGTACCAGATATAGCGGACCAAAGTATTATATTTTCATACTTCATCTAATACAGATAAAAACTAGTAAAAAACCAGTAAAGAAAGTCTTAAAATCGGGCGGGGCCGACTTTATGATACCCTACACCACTTTGCTAATTTAGAAGAGCTCCGCATAACAATTAAACGTTTTAATGGGAGAATTCTATAACACACGCCATGATTATAATTATAATTTAAAGTTCAAAGGACTAAATATGCCGAAGCATTTGTATCTTTTAAATTCGGACTTGTTTTGCCCATTTGGTGCACAATTAATTTGAAATCAGATAAAGATATGGGAGCTATATCCAAATCTGAACCGATCACGATAAAATTAGGCAAAGATATTTCTGAGCTGTGTTTGATATATTTCCCTGAATATCGTTGTTACGGAGTGCATATTACGGCTGTGGGTAACAAATATGAGAAATCGGATGAACAGTATATATGGGAGCTATAGCTATATCCGAACCGATCTTCACCAAATTTGACATATTAGCTTCTAGACTCAATTCGGTCGAGGGTGCCAAATTTCATCCAATTTGGGCTAATATTAGACGTTTGGTGCACGATCAAAGTTAAATCGGACAAAGTTATATATGGGAGCTATATCCAAATCTGAACCGATCTCGATAAAATTTAGCAAATGTATTTCTGAGCTGCTTTTGATATATTTCCCCAAATATTGTTGTTACGGAGTGCATATTACGGCTGTGGGTAACAAATATAACAAATCGAATGAACAGTATATATGTATGTGGGAGCTATAGCTATATCTGAACCTATCTTCACCAAATTTGACACACTAGATTCCAGACTTAATTTGGTCGTAAGTGCCAAATTTCATCCAATTTGGACAAACATTAGACGTTTGGTGCACAATAAAAGGCAAATCGGACGAAGATATATATGGGGGCTATATGTAAATTTTGACCGATTATCTCCAATTTCAATAGGGTTCGTCCTTGGGTCAAACAAATTTCATCTGGAAAGGGCAATAAATGCGAACTGTACTTTGTTTACAAAAATACATGGACAGACGGTCAGACGAACGGACGGACATGCATAAATCGACTCAGAATGTGATTCTATGCAGATCATCAAAAGGAACTATGGGTCTATCTCGTTTCCTTTTGCCTGTTGCAAACAAATGCACAAAGGCATAATACCCTGACCACCTTGTGGTGTAGGGTATAAACATTAAGTTCGGCCTCGCCGAACTTTTAATGCCCTCCACCTTAGGATAAGGGAAACATTTTTATATGAAAGTATCTGAATTCCAGCGTGTTTCACTTTAAACTTCATATACCAGTAAGACCGTTTGCATAATGCAGTTAAACTTATCAAAAAAAAACCATAAAGTGAGTGAGGCCGTTACGAGGTGAGATGAAACAATTGCAACCAACTTCAGACTGCTGTCATTTCCAACCCACTCATCCGACAGCTGTTAAAATTATTCCAGTGACAGGTCATTATGTTGTTACAAGCGTACAAAAGCATTTTGGTGAGCATTTTCCAGAAGAAAAGTTATTCGTGATGGAATTCAAGCGTGATAGTGTGATTTTTTTTTTATTTATTTGGCTGGTACCTCTTCCAGAAAGGATAAATTTCATTTATAATCATAAGTGTCTCTAATTTTCAGAAAAAATTACCATTTCATTTGTGCAAACATTATATTTTGTACGGTCAACAAAAAATGTATGGTAATGTAATGGCCAAATTAGTATATACTTATAACCTGAGAGATTACAAAATCAGAAAAATCTCTTGTTAGCCCATATAAAGCCCTAAAGGTTTTTATTCTGACCCTTACTCTGACTCAATGCAAAATTTCGTGAGGTTTGCGTCATAATTGTGACTAAATCGACCCAGCACGGTAAATACATATGTAAAATCGTGGTCCTAGAAGCAATAGAGGTTATTGGCATCACGTAACCTTTGGCGGATTAGCTTGATATTTCCGCCTCCCCCCTTTAAACATTTAGTTATAATTGAAAATCCAAATCCGGCTCATATTCCCCATTGCAACTATGGGGATTATGACCTATATTTCGGTCATAATACCCATAAAAAAGGAGCTATGTCCACTACTTTCTTGGGTTTATGACCGTTTTTTCTTGGACATAATCCCCATTCCAATTTGGGGAACATTCCGGTGCCGGAAATACCCAAAGGAGAAAGTCTTTGGACATAACCATTATAATTGGATTTATGTCCGCTACTTCCTTGGGCTTATGACCGTTTTTTTCTGGACATAATACTCATTCTATTATGAGGGTTTCCCATAATAATGGTAATGCGCAAAACGATTGGGTGTGCGAAAAAATTTAGATTCTGGACATGTCCTGCACCTAAATGTCATAATTTTTGTAATTAGCCGGTATTTGACCGGGGCTGGAGATTTTCTCCTTTGAGTATGTCCAGCACCTGCTGCCGCGAATCAAAGATTTCTAAAATTAATTATTTTTGTAAGTTGTTCACACAGCAAACGGTAATACTCCCCATGGGGATTCCATAATCCCCACATTATTATGGGGGCTATGACCAAAAACAATATTCATAATTGTTGAAGAGACTTCGAGAGGCGGATTTTTAAAAAAAAATTTTTTGAAGTGACTTCGAAACTTGGATTTTTTAAAGAGACTTCGAAACGTGGATTTTTTAAAAAATATTTTTTGAAGTGACTTCGAAACTTGGATTTTTTAAAGAGACTTCGAAACGTGGATTTTTTAACAAATATTTTTTGAAGGACTTTAGAGTCGTGGACTTTTAAAGGATATTTTTTGAAGAGCCTTCGAGACGTGGATTTTTTAACAATTTTTTGAAGTGACTTCGAGGCGCGGAGTTTTTAAAAAAATATTTTTTGAAGAGACTTTGAGATGCGGATTTTTTAAAAAAAAATATTTTTTGAAGAGACTTCGGGACGCGGATGTAAAAAAAAAAATATTTTTGGAAGAGACTTCGAGACGCAGATTTTTTAAAAAAATATTTTTGGAGGAGACTTCGAGACGCAGATTTTTTAAAAAATTATTTTTGGAAAAGACTTCGATACGCAAATTTTTTAAAAAAATATTTTTTTAACGACCTTCGAGACGGACTTTTAAGGGATATTTTTGAGAGCCTTCGAGACGTCGATTTTTTAAAAATTTGTTTGAAGAGACCACGAGACGCGGATTTCTTAAAATATATTTTTTGAAGAGACTTCGAAACTTGGACTTTTTAAAGAATTTTTTTGAAGAGACTTCGAGAAGTGGAACTTTAAAGCATATTTTTTCTTCGAAAAGTGGACTTTTTAAAGAATATTTTTGGAAGAGTCTTCGAAGAATTTTTTCGTACAAATTCATATTTTAACTATCAAATAATCGCTCTTATATGTACACAATTAAATAAACTATAATTTTTTTGGAAGAGAATAGATACTGCGTATGATGTAAAAAAATATTTAAGGTATTGAGATAATGTGTTAGGGAAAATTTATAAATAAGTGGTCTGGAAAGATTATTTAGAATCTTTCTCATTCACTATTGAAATGAAAATGATTTTTTTGTTTTGTATGAGCAGAACACACAAATAGTCCATGGCCATCTTGGTCACACCTTTTTCTGAAATCAAAATTATATTTATGTACCCCAATATTTCTAACGGTATATTCATAAAAATATCCGGCGATATTAGCGACGGATATAACTAAATATTCTACAAAAACCATTTTGACAGAAAATACAAAAAAAAA